GCAGGGGGTTGAAACTGGATGATCATTGTGGTCCTTTTCAACTCAGGACATTCTGTGATTCTATGATTCTGTGTATTGGGGCTGAGGGTAAAGTGCTTTAAGACAGACCTATCTTCAAAACAGTTAGATAAGGTGTTATGGTGCTCTGCAGTGATGTAGAATATAGAAAATATATGAAATCTCACCTTCTAAAAGTATGCTTGTGAGAGACAAACAGAGTTTTCCATTGTTTTTGTTTTTGTTTTCGTTGTTTGCTGTTACTGTTTTATAAATTGATAATACTTTCTTCTTTTAATTTTTCTTTTATTTTAATTTGATGGTAGGGAAGTTAACCTGATAGACGTGGAAATTACAGGATGTCTGTGTAATCCCAACCCCTCTCCCTGGTTCAGTCTTCTCCCATCATGTGAAATCCATGGTTATAGGAGGTAACCATCACTGCGTTAATTGCATCAATTGCAGAGTTGTGGGTCAGTGCAAGGAAGCTCCATGCAGTGTGTTCCAGGGCTTCATCTTTAAATGAGGAGACATAATTTGTGTGATGTGCTGCATCTAACTGAATGTCATCATTGCTGCTTCAGTGTACGAAATAGATACAGGAATACTAAAGAAGCTTAATGCATTTATGAAGCACACTGAGATGCTTTCTGAGGAATCCTGCTAATCCTTTCCGTTGTTACCATGTGTTTTCAGTATGTTTTCTGAAAAGAGTGAACTGGGTAAGTGCACACGTACTTCAAATGGTGGTAGGCAGCTTTGAGTAACTTAATGGCAAAAGGAATTGACCACGCAGAAGACTGATCAATTAAAAATAAATAAATAGATAGATAGATAGATAGATAGATAGATAGATAGATAGATAGATAGATAGATCGATCTTAATGCTGAAGACTGGTTTCAGTGTTTGTGTTGACTTAATGGATCAGCAAAGCATGATTTTCCTGGAAAATTCTATGTATTTCTCAGTGTTGTCACAAATTTCCAATGCATTTTATTGACTTCCTTTGGTGCTCATTAATAAAAACACCTTCCTTCTTCTGCCTCTTTTGCTGGAGAGAACAGAATGCTGGGTGTTGTCTCTCCTCTCTGTCCTGAGAAGGTTCCTTGCATTTTTCTGTGATAAGAACACTTGCCATCATCACTTTGAGACCTCCAGTGTGCATAGGTGGCATTGTCCCTTAGAGGTACCATGGCCAATGTTTCTCCCAGTAAAATACCAAACAGAATGGAGAACTGGAAACAGCATTCATGTTTGATCAGACTTTATGTGCGTACAGGGATTCTAGCTTTCTTGGTAATCTTACATTTGTTCCTGCTGAAGCATGAAGTTTTTGGCTCCATTTCAGAAGCGTTCCACTGTGTTCCTAATGGACCAATCTCTGACTCCCACTCACAGTGGTATTCAGGTGGGCACACTTCATTGCTAGCACAGCATGAGGATGCCATTAACCGTATGACAAATTTCTCTTCACCTCAAAGTTTTTCTTCTCTTTTTTCACTCTTGTAATTTATTACCAGGCAGATGAAATCAGCAAGCTGGTGCTCTTAACAAAGAACAGCTACAACAATAGTACTTTGTGACAGCTGTGAAACATTTAGGTTTTGTTCTAGCGCCTGTGACACACGGCTGTTATAATTTCTTGCCTCAAACTAAAGAAAAACCCTGCAGTCCAAATGATGGAGTTGTGTAATGTGTTGCTGAAGCAATGATGTATACTCAGTCCCAGTGGTTGCTGGAGTGCTGTGTGCATCGTGATGTTGTACATCAGGTGAGCATGGATGGTTAGTCCTGCAGTCAGTGCTTATACTGAGCTGTCATGACTGTAAAGTTGGGCACTTACAGCTTAAAATCTTCAGTGCTAACTGGGAAGTGGGCTTTACAGCTCCTTTTCCTTCGTGCAGTGGAAAGTTTTCTTCTCTTGTAGTCTGCTCATGGGGATATGGCATTTATGTGGGACAGCCCAGCAATACACTGTTTGCTTGCTTAGCTCAAGTTTGATCCAGGCACTGTGCAAACTGTCTGTCTGATAATCACCTTGGTAAGGATCCGAAGAAGGGGTATTTTTCCCCTCTTCCATCATTTCCTACCTGTTTTTCATTGGAACAGGTTGCTCAGAGAAGCTGTGGATGCCCCATTCCTGGAGCCGTTCAAGGCCAGCTGGACAGGGCCCTGAGCAGACTGATCTGATGGTTGGCAGCCCTTCCCATGATGGAGGGACTGGAACTAGAAGATCTTTAAGGTCCCCTTCAGCCTAAGCTATTTGATTGCTTATGATTCTTTGCAGACTGGTACAGAGGTGTTGCCTGGTGCAGAACCAGGCATTGCCATTGGTTTCTTCTCAGGTTGGATGAATGGCAGCTCACCTCCATGCAAGAAATGGAGCAAACCAGGAAGGATGGAAGGATATTAAGATATATAAGATTATATTTCTGTGAAAGTACCTGTTAGCTGTGCAGCTCAAGAGTTGGTCTGGGACATGATCTTCACCAATGGGGCTGTGCTCATGTTGGGCTGCATAGGTATAGTGAAGGATCCTTAGGGTTACAACAGCAGCATTGAGGGATGTAAGGTTGCTGATGTTAGTAAGAACTCTTGCAGTGTTGTTGGTATTTACAGGGTATCACTGGGGATAACATTTACATCTCTGTGGTTGTTTGGATGTAAAATATTTTACTGCAAACAAAATTACTTTTCCTTGTGGCATACACCTACATATGGAACATTCATTATTATTAATTGAAAGCTAAGAGCAGAGAAGGCAAAAAAAGCATATTTTTCAGTCAGTGCTGGTGTTCTGTTCTTCTCAAATCTTACATAACGTGACCAAATAGATAAGACAGATGGCTTTATTCCTTGCTATGGAGTTCATCCCAGTCAATAATATTGATTAGCACAGGGTGACTTGGTGTAACGAGAATAACACCCCTTCCTTAATTTGAGCCTGGATTTCTCGCTTCCTGCCTCAGTAGTTCACACTTGGATGAATTCCTCAATATGTCAACTTAGACACAGGCCTTCCCACCCCTGGAATCGCAGGGTCTGACATTAATAGGGGAAATGAGTAATTTTCTTTTCCTGCAACTTGTGCCTAACTTTTCTGACTGTTGAATTCCTGAACTTTTTTTTTTTTTTTTTTAGCTCTCTCCAATTGCAGTCAGTGAAGTTTTATAGACTACTGTTCCTTTGCATTTCATGAATCCTTATGTCAGTGTGGAGAGCATCAAGAAGCACCGTGTCCTAGCTGCAGTGTTTGTATGGGGAGTTTTAGGTTGGATATTAGGAAAAAAATCTTCTCAGAAAGAGTGGTGAGGTATTGGAACAGCTTCCCAGGGAACTGGTGGAGTCACCATCCCTGGAGGTGTTCAAGAAGAGGGCAGATGTGGCACTGAGGGATGTGATTTAGTGTGCATGGTGATGATGGATTGATGGTTGGGCTGGATGATCTTACTGATCTTTCCAACCTTAATGATTCTGTGATTCATCTATAACCAACCCCCAGATCCAAACACATTAGTGATCTTGTAACAAGACAGAACAGTATCCAAAATGCATTGGGTGATGTCTGTATAGGTAAACTTCCCACGGTCATGTAGTTAATAAGAACAGGGAGCTTCTTTTCTTTGCTTTTGTTTCCTCTTCTTGACCTCAGCCAGTTGATTCGTCGTTTCCTGTTTTCCTTGCCCAATCCACAGGGAGTTTAATATCTTCACCCTCACCAGGGCACAGAAACAGCACCTTTGAGTTTGCATCTGCACTGTGAGTTCTTGTACAGAACAATCCTGACCTGGAAGGACCGCTCCAGGGTATGAAAGAATCGGTGTCAGTGACCGGCTCAGTCCTTGGGCATTGCTGTGAAGTTGCTAACAGGAGAGCCAATTAAATCAGCTCATTAAGGTGTTTTTTTTTGTTGTTGTTGTTGCTGGTGTTTGGTTTTTTGTTTGTATTATTTTTTATAGATTGTTTGCAGGTAATGACCTAAAGCACATAAACTTCACTTTGAAAAGAGAATTGGAGGCACTTAGTAGTTGGTTTTGTTCCTCCTCCTCTCACACTTTCCAATTTGAAGACATTCTTTTTCTCATTTTAAGGCAGAAGGATGTCAGGGTCAAAAAAATTCAATAATCTGTTGGTGTTGTTATGATTTCAAGTACTTTGTCATTTTCCTGCCTGTAAAGTTATCATAATAATGTGATTAGGTTCTGTATTTATTATTATTCAATCATTAAAGGAGAGTTCACATGCAACATAAAAATGGCTTAATGACATTTGGGATAGTGACTTTGCCCAAGTCCAAAAACAGAGTTAATAGGGTTATTTGTCAGATGATATGGGCAAGAATACTGTCTGAGCTTTGTGATAAGTGAGTTTGACTGAAGCGTGGGGGCATTATATGGTGAATTTCTGCTAATTTCAGAATCAGGTAATTTTTTTTATGCTAATGTGAGAAGCATCTGCCCTGTTCTTTTAAAATGTGTTCTTCTGGGAGAGTAAGGAGTGGTCTTTGTTGCACTCAGGAAATGCAGGAGTTCTAGGAGATGTAGGCTAAGTATTTGTCTTCCTCCTTTTTCCTATTTCAATATCCTGATTTAATGTTTCTCACTGTTGGGAGCTGCTGGTGGAAGAAGCTTTGCTTCAGCTGCAATGACACAGAGATGGGTGCTTCATGCCACTTGAAACTCCGCAGTCTGTGCTCAATGTGTATAAATTACTCTCTGAGCTTATTTTACTTCCCAAAAGCATACCAAGCTCAACACATCTATTTTTCCCAAAGCTGAGAGCCTGTTTGTATGCAGCTTTTGTTTGGGCAATGGAGACTTCTGCTGGGAAATTACAAAACTCAGAGTAGGAAATGGACTCTCAAGAGCCCCAAATGGACTCTTGAGACTAGTGTTAAGTGTAATGACACTTACAGACAAAGCTAAATCTCTAATTATCAGTTACTATCTGAAAATCAAGGGATGTTCAGATTCTGTTGAACAACTTCTGTATTGTTTTCCAGGAGGACCAGATGATAATTTAATCGAAGGTGGAGGATCCAAGTTTGTCTGCAAACCGGGAGCCAGAAACATCACCATCATCTTTCACCCACTCCTCAGGTAAGTGAAGCTTTCTATCTAGTTCTGCTATGAAAATAATTAGGATAAGTAGAATTAACCCATTTTATTTATGGGCATGTTGTGATTTCTGAGATAACATGCTCCAGCAAAGTGTGTGTATTTATGGCTTGTGGAGAAGTTTTTGTATGCACATGTAAAAAGTAAACACCAGTTGGGTGTTTACTTTTTACCAGTTGCCAACACTTGTTTCATCACTGTCAAGATTAACTAACACTTCAGGTGGAAACGCTTGCCTAGGTGACCCCTTTCCATTGAACAGTGTCATTTATTATTGACCCAAGCTGGGAAGAGTTCAGTTTCAGCCTGTCACAGATTGTTTATCGCTCATATGCTTAAAAAGTCAGAAGGGTACTTTATAAACTGCAAGGTGAGTTCGTTCCTTGATAAACAAGTATGCTCTATAGACTGAAAATTAAATGTGTGATCTAAAGAGCTGTGCCAGTTGCTAAGATCATAGAAATTCAGAGCTTATCAAGGATGGCTGGAACTTCAAACAAGTCTCCTCTCACCAAGTCATTCACTTCTGATGCTTTAATTTTGCTCTTTTTAACTTTGCAATTTAACAGTACATTCTCTTACTTTTACCAGAGTTAAATAATATTAAATTTTTCTCAATTGATGTCAGTCTTCCACCTCTGCATGTTCCTTGCATGTCACACACATCCTTTCCTGTTCACTGCTTGCACCTTCAGGGTGCATTTCCTTCCTTTGCTGTTTGTATTACTCACTATCACGATTCACTTAAGCAACAGGGCATTCTTCTTCAGCACTAAAACCAAGCAATAATAAAATAGTAATAAAGACAAAAAAGTGGAATCTGATCCTGAGAGTAAGAGTATCCTAAATGTCATCTTGGCAGCTGAAAACAGTTGTGACTTCTTTGGACTTAAAAATGTGGAGGGAAAGTGCATTAATCCCTCCAAATGTATATTTCTGATGTCATGACATCAGATATTGGAATGATCTTTAGAACAGCACCAGTTTTGAGGACATATTACAATTTGTTGGCTGTTTCAGATCTTTCCTTTACAAAAGGAAATCTGTGTGCTCTCTATTTATTGCAAGATGCCTATAATGATAATTTCATAAGCACGTATTATTTCAACACCAATCTCTTTTAAATTGAAAGAAACGTGCTAAAAATTACTTTACCAGAACATAATGTTTATTTTTCAGCTATTTTGTTGTGAGAAAAGGAGGAGTGGTTGACGCAATGAGCTATTCAAGACAACCACTAGGACACAGACTTCAGTCTCTTCATTTCTAACAAATTTGCAATCTTCTTTCAAGCACAGAGCGGGGTGGGAATGCTCTTCTTTTTATTGATGAGTTGTTCCATATTGATTTAGAAACTGGTGAAATACTTCCTTTCCATTTTCCTCCCTGCTTCATTTCTTTTTCTGTTTTGGTTTGGGTTTTTTTGCCATACAAGTCAAACACGAGTGCTTTAAAAAACACTTCTCACAAACACTTCACCTTCGATACCAGCTTGCAAGATACGCAGTAGAATTAATTAATGTGCTTCATAAAAAATAATTACATCAACATTAAGTTATCTGCCTGCAATATATTTATTTTTTTTCACCAACCATCTGCAACATCTTAACATCCTGAGTGGAGCATCAACAACTGAGTGAAGCAAAAGATACCACTCCGTCACCTAGCTTACCTTTTTCTCACTGTTGAATGGGGTGAGTTTGGGTGCAGGTCAACAATGTAGAAACTTCACAAATTTTACTTGCCTTAATCATCAACAGAATAAATATCTTATGGGTGTCCTTGCAAGTCTTAGTTTTAACTTGTGATCTTCAACTTTGGCAGCGTATTTGGGATGAGCATAGCACTGCATTTCTTTCTTTCATAATTCCCTTCATGGAATTCTCTTCCTTTCTTGCCCAGAGAGATTATGGATACCCCATCCTGAAGGTATTGAAGGCCAGGATGGATGTGGCTCTGGGCAGCCTGGTCTAATAGTTGGTGACCCTTCCTGTGGCAGAGGGGTTGAAACTGGATGATCTTTGAGGTCCTTTTCAACCCAGGCCATCCTTTGATTCTGTGATTCTGATGGGAGTCAAAGCAGTGACTGTCCTACCAGCAAACTGGCTTACTCATTGCTTCCTGTTAAAACTGCCTGTAAGATGCTGCTTGTCACTTGGAAATGCTGAGTATGGAGGGATTTGCAAAAATATTGATATGTGCAATTATTTCTATCCATTGCTTGTTGGTTAGATCTGTGTCACCCTTTTCTAGATGTTATCATGTTCAGTGTGAAGGTCTCCAGGAGCTAATTGCTGCAGAGGTGTGAAGTTTTCACTTGTTTTATTTTCCATTTGTTTTCAAGACTTCTTACGGCTTGTCTCAATCAGCTTCCATCAGTGTCATAGGCATGAAATGAATCTGTTTTGAATTCAGAAAGATCAATGTTTTATTTCAAAGTCTTTTTTCCTTATTTCTGTCAAGTTCACATAAGTGTGTTGGCAGAGAAGTTTTAACACCGTACAGCCCAGCTGATCTGTTAGGAACTCAAGAGCTTCTAGTGTTGGAAAGGGTCCAGAGGAAGGCCACAAAGGTGATAAGGGGGCTGGAGCACCTCCCCTACAAAGACAGGCTGAGGGAGCTGGGCTTGTTCAGCCTGCAGAAAAGAAGGCTGCGGGGTGACTTCATTGCAGCCTTCCAGTACCTAAAGGGAGCCAACTCTTTGGAAGGGTAGATAATAGAAAGACAAGGGGAACTTTTAAGTTGAAGGAGGGAAGAATTAGGTTGGATGTCAAGGGGAAGTTCTTTACTATGAGAGTGGTGAGGTGCTTGAATAGGCTGCCCAGAGAGGTTGTGGATGCCCTGTCCATCCCTGGAGGTGTTCAAGGCCAGGTTGGATGGGGCCTGGGCAGTATAATTCTGCACAGTACAGTAAGTTTGGATGGAGAGTAACCAAAGCATTCATATTCATCCATTTGAATTTATAGTTTTTGCACTACTAATATGAAAAGTGTCATCTTCTATTGCATCAGAGTTGCACAGTCACAGAGTTAAGCTTTTTTTGATTATAATAGCCTTTTTTGGATCCTTTTTTGTTTGCAAGATGAAACTGAGCTTGGCTTCAGACCTGTTTGAAGGATGCAGGAGTCAGCAGGCACTCCAAGGGCTGTACGTTGCCCCCATGTCTCCAATAACGAAACTTCTTTCAGAGAAACTCTTAGAGCCATGGAGAGTCAAAGGGCAAATACACACAAGTAGGTTTCGAAGTCTGCCTTTCCCCAGATCCACTTAGAGCAGTGAGCCAGCATTGGGAAATGAGTTGTCATGCAGGTTGGGATGTGTGTCCCTTATTTCCACTAGGACAATTGAGGCTCACTAAGCCCCAGATTAATTACCAGGATTTAATGATACCACCACACACATAATAGATGAATAGCGAGTTTTTGCAAGACAAGTGGGTATTCTAGCACGGATGATTCCTGGGAATAGATTTTACTAACTACATATGAAAACTAATTGCGTTTATAAATTGAAGAGAAGAGCACATCTGATTTTCCTTAATTACATGTTGCGGGAGGTGTCAAAGTATAAAAGTTACCCAGGAAGTCCAGTTGCTTTTTTCATCCTTCATTGCTAACCAGCATCTGCTTGGATCGTGGCAGCGTTGGCGTTATTGGTGTGTGGATGAACATCTCCCATTGGAGGATGGATGCACGTGGGACCAATGCTGAAGCCCTTACGTCGTGGAATATGGAACAGCCTGAGCGATGTCTGTTGTAACATTTGTCTGGTGGAGGGTTTTTTTCCCGTTGTTTATTTGTTTCAGCTGGCATTTGAAAGGCACTTGGCTCTTCAGGGTAATAATCATTTTACATATGCTTTATAGAGTATGTTTATTACCAGACAATTGAAGAACAGATGTCTGCAGTCTTGAGGCTTAAGGGGGAGGGGTTGGAGATGGAGGAGATGATGGCGTTTTGAATCATGAAAGCACTGCTGGTGCTCATGCAGTTGAACATTGTTTGGATGTTGGGTATTAAAGCCGCGAGGGGATCCGTTTATTAATACCAGCCACACTTCATTAAGATCAAGCAGCAATTAAAATGATTGTAGGACAGCAGAGAAAGCTCAGTGTTCATTGATTCGGAAGAAGCAGTCGCTTCTGAGCAAAACTATATCCTTGTGAAGAAGTGCTCTGGAAGGGCTGAACTGAGCAGTGCAGCATCGCATTCTTTACCAAGTGGGAACAACTGCACCGTGCCAGCAATGTTCTCATCACTGCTTTTGGCTTCCAAGCTTGGACAGTCAGAAAGTGAGAAACAAAATGTTGATTTATTTGCAAACTTAAACAAAAGAAAAAGAAGAAAAGGGGAGAACAACCAATTGGACTCCTGCTGGTGTTGTTTGAGATGCTTAATGCTGAGGCAGTGCAGGGTTTGTTATTTCCTGGTGGTTTGGACTGCTCAGAGGTAGGGGAAATAGAACAGTATATAGGCAGACAGTTCAGTTTAACAATTGCATGGATTTCCTCACTTTAATTTCCCCATTATTTAAAGCAGTGGCTTTTCCAGTGGTAGCGTATTAGGATGAGGTGTTTTTTTTTTTCTTTCATTTGTGGTAATGGTGAAAAGAGAGTGATTGCTCTTTTAATAAGTAAAATGAATGCTGTAGGGAGTAGTGATGGAGAAGAGTAATTTTCTTTTGCTGCTTGTTGATTCCAGTGTGCTACTCACCAACTGGTGGCAATCTGCTTCATAATGTGGAAGGTCACATTTCAAACTCCACTGATAACCTGTCCTTGGGAGGGAGGTGCTCAGTGTACAGCATATATACATACACCCAGCTGTGTGTGTGTGTGTTAGCAGTGATGTTGTAGCTTTCCATGCTTCAGAAAAATCGTGTCAAGCTACTGTTTAATTCAGGATATGTCAAAATCGAAGGTGCCATATTTAGGATGTAAGTTCTCTGTTCTCACAATGTTGGGACGGGGTGGCAAAGCCACC